AAAGTATATTACTTTCTATCCCCATTCAGTTTTCTCCACAGGTCTATCATACCTAACTTTTCTAATGTTCCATTCACTTCCTTAACTTCTTTCTTGTTTATTTTGTGGTTAGATATCTAGTTCAGAGAGGGGGAGGTTGAGGTCCCCCACTAGTGTAGTTTTGCTGTCTATTTCTTCCTGTAACTCCCTGAACTTCTCCTCTAAGAATGTGGATGCTATACCATTTGCTGCATATATGTTTAGTAATGATATTACTTCATTGTCTATGGTGCCTTTTAGCAGGATGTAGTTTCCTTCCTTATCTCTTTTGATAAGATCTATTTTTGCTTTTGCTTTGTCTGAGATCAGGATTGCTACCCCTGCTTTTTTTACTTCAGCTGAAGCATAATATATTTTGCTCCAGCCTTTTACCTTTACCCTGTATGTGTCACTCTTTTTCAAATGTGTTTCCTGTAAACAACATATTGTAGGATTATGGTTTTTAATCCAATCTGCTATATGCTTCCATTTTATGGGAGAGTTCATCCCATTCACATTTATAGTTATGATTACTATCTGTGTCTTTTTCTCCATCCTTCCCCCACCCTCCGCTTATGCTTTTCTTTCTCCTTTCTCCTTTCCTCCCCTTACTAGTGTTTTGCTTTTGACCAGCACCTCCTTCAGTCCCACCTCCCTTCTATTATTCCTTTCCCTTTTCTTCCCCTTTACCCTGCTTCTTTCCTCCCTTCTATTCCTCCTCCCTTTTCTTTCCCCTTTCCCCTCCTACTACCTATAGTGCAAGTTAGATTTCTATACCTGATTATGTTATTCCCTTCTTGAGCCAAATCTGATGAGAATAAAGTTCAAACAATGCTCATCCCCCTCCCTTCTTTACCTCTGCTTTAATAGGTTTTTGTGTCTTTTCCTGTAATGTAATTTACCCTTATCTGCCTCCTCCTTTCTCAGTATATTTTCTTAGCTCAGACTGATCCACTTACTTGGATCCATTTAACCCACTTGATTAATTTTTTTTTTATCATTACATCAAAGTCAACTTATATCTACCCCCTTGATGTATACTCCTTTAACATGGTATAATAACAATACAGTTCTCAAGAGTTGCAAGTGTCATCTTCCCTTGTAGGGATGTAAACATTTTGCCCTTATTAACAACATATTGTATCTTTCTGTCCCATTTACCTTTTTATGTCTCTCTTGAATCTTGTACTTAAAGATCAAATTTTTTGTTGAGCTCTGGTCTTTTTATCAGTAACGTTTGGAAGTCCCCTATTTCATTGAATATCCATCTCTTTCCCTGAAAAATCACGCTCATTTTCTCCGGGTAGTTAATCCTTGGCTGCACTCCAAGCTTCTTTGCCTTACAGAATATCATGTTCCATGCCCTACAGTCTTTTAATGTAGAGGTTACAAGGTCCTGTGTAATCCTGACTCTGGTTCCATGATATTTAAATTGTTTCTTTCTGGCCGGTTGCATTAATTTCTCTTTAATTTGGTAATTTTGGAATTTAGGTATTATATTCCTTGGTGTTTCCAATTTGGGATCTCTTTCAGGCAGGGAGCGGTGGATTCTTTGTATAGTTATTTTACCTTCAGGTTCTAGGATTTCAGGGCAGTTTTCCTCTATGATTTCCTGAAGGATATTGTCCAGGATCTTTTTTTCATCATGACTTTCAGGTAGACCTATAATTTTTAAATTGCCTCTCCCGGATCGATTTTCCAGGTCAGCTGTTTTACCCATGAGCTATTTTATGTTTTTATCTATTTTTTCATTTTTTTGTTTCTGTTTGACTGATTCTTGCCCTCTTATAGAATTGTTTCCATTTGTTCAATTCTAATTTTTAACATATTGGTTTTTTCTGTTAGATTTTGTACTTTCTTCTCCAATTGGTCAATTGTATTTTTAAGGGATTTATTTTCTTCATTGTACTTTTTTTCCAATTGGCCAATTGTGTGTTTTAGAGACTTGTTTTCTTCAGTGTACTTTTTTTCCAGTTGGCCAATTGTACTTTTAAAGGACTCCTCTACCTCTCTCATTTGACTTTTAAAATCCTTCTTGAGTTCTTCTAAGAAGGCTTTTTGGGCTTCAGACCAGTTCATATTCCCTTTTGTTGTTGCAGATGTGGGTTTGATGACAGTGTTGTCCTCTTCAGAATTTCTGTCTTGATCTTCACTCTTCTCTTAATATGAGTCTCTCATACATTTCTTTTTACTCATGGTGTTTCTTTACTCCTTAATCCCTTTAAAGAGATTAAGCTCTCCTGCTGGGGAGCAGAGGGCACTGACCCAAGCTTCTTGTGTTGGGTGCCTAGGTCTTGGTCACTGGCTTTGTGTGCTGGGGCGTCTTATGTTGGCAATTGGAGGCTGTAGGTTTCGGGCAGCTTATCTGGTGTTGGGCTGGAATCAGCAAGGCTGGGACTTTTAGGCAAATCTAGGTTGCCTGCTTTTCCTTTCCTTTAGCTTTGTTTAATTCCTTTTAGATGGGTACTACAGGGTGTTTATCTGTCTGGGGCCCCTTGCAGTGCTGCCTCCCTTATTTCTGTTGAGGCACTGTAAGACTTCTTTGCTGTAGAATGCCAAGGCACCTGGTGGTTTTCTGAGCTGGTTTCCACCAGTTACCCCACCCTCACTGAGGTATTCAGAGGTACTGCTATTGGTGTTTGCCTGCTTGACCACCTGGGCTTCGGGATCTCCTCCTGGTTGGCAGCTGGAGGCTGTAAGGTCCTGATAGCTTACCTGGTGTTGGGCTGGAATCAACAAGGCTGGAACTTTCGGGCACCTCTAGGTTGCTTTCTTCAGCTCCTTTCAGACGAATGCTGCCAGATGCTTATCCGCCTAGGGCCCTTTGTAGTGCTGCTTCCCTTATTTTTGCTGAGGCACTGGGAAACCCATTTGCTGTAGAATGCCGAAGCACCAGAATCTCCTCCTGGTGTGCTAAAGTGGGTCTTTCCACTAGCTGGCTAGGCGACTCCCCATTACATACTGCTCCCCTTCCCCCAGGGTAAGAGGGGCCTTTCCCGTTAATCCCTCTAGCTACCTGGGCTACTGCACTGCTGCACCCCATCTTTCTTCTGGTTCAGCTGTTCCAGGGTTTTTTCTGGGGTGATATTTTCTGGGTTTTCAGAGGTTGATAGGGGAGAGTGAGAGCAACTACCTTTTTACTCCGCCATCTTTGCTCCCGGAAACAGAAGTATTCCCATCTTCTTAAACTATTATTCTTCTTACCTTTTTACTACCTAATTACAGAAAAAATCATTTACGCTTACTACTGCTAAGTCCTCATGACTCATTGATGTCCAAAAGCCTGAAAACTGGCTTCGTTTGACACCCTACTACCCGACTGAAACCGTTTTACCAAAGATTGCTACAGATTTTGAAGCTGCTAAATAAATCTGATGGTCTTTTTTCAGTCCTTATTCTCCTTGATCTCTCTGAAGGTTTTGATATCATTGACTACATTATCCCAGAAATTTGCAGATACTCTCTCATCTCTTGGTTTCTATGTCACTGTGCTTATCTTATTTCCTTGTACCTGTCCTACTATTTCTTCTTAGTATTCTAGGCTAGACTATTATATAGTACCCTAAACCTTTCTGTCTCCCAAATCTTTGGTCCTAGACCCTTATTTCTTCTGTGTATTCTCTCCTTTAGTGAGTTCATTGACTTTCATTCGTTGTCTTTATGCACAAGACTTTCAGATCTCTAGACAGATAGAGAGAGAGAGTGATACATGTCTATATATAGATGTCTACATTTATATAAATACATAGATAGATAAAGATAAACATAGATATACATCTATGTAAATATAGTTATATAGATATATAGCTTAAGTATTTCTCAGGGAAGCTAGGTGGTACAGTGGATAGAGTGTCAGCCCTGGAGTCAGGAAGATTCATCTACCTTAGTTCAAATCTGGCCTCAGACATTTACTATCCGTATGATCCTGGACAAGTCACTTAACCCTGTTTGCCTTAGTTTCCTCATCTGTAAAATGAGCTGGAGAAGGAAGCGGCAAACCACTCCAGTATCTTTGCCAAGAAAACCCCAAAAGGGGTCATGAAGAGATGGCCACAACTGAAAAACAACTAAACAAACAAAAAAATCTCTCCTCAACTCTAGTTCCGTATCATCTCTATTCCTCTGATGGACCTCTCTATCTTTATATCTTGCCAGCATATCAAATTCAGTATGTCTAAAATTCATCTTGTCCCTTAATCACCCCCCTTCTCCTGTTTCTATTTAAGGTACCAAATATACTGAAGCCTCAGTATCATCTTCAATCCTCCCCTTTCCTTCTGAGGAATCTACCATGCACACAGGCAAGTAAATAAAAGATAACACAAGGAAGGAGAGATCAGTGGTATCTACTGTGCTCCCCTTACTGGTTTTCTCTCATTTTGTCCTTGGTGTCTAGCACATAGTGTTTAATAAATGTTGGTTGCCTACTCTCAAGGAAAATACCATTTAAAGGAGCCTTGGCATTGAGTCCTGTCAGTCAACAAGCATTTTTTAAGTGCTTACTATGCGGTCATTCAAATAATTACCCAATTACTTCTTGGCATAGGAAATCTTAATTTTCACACAGCACATTTTCTTAAAGCAAGGCACACTTTCATGTAAATGCAAACTTCACTTAAAAATAAACACTGTGTTGGTATACATTTCTTTTAGAATTATACCAAAGGCGGCATGAAATTACGGTGGAGGAAACTGTGAATATCATCACATCAAAATTCTTACTCTAAAGGCCAAGGAAATGTTTAGAGATTGGTCCATGATGGTCTATTTCCATGGGGCTTCTCGAAGGACTGATGAAGCCTCTCCCCCTCCTCCCTCCTTCCCCTGCCCAAGAGGTCAGCGATAAGGAGAGATGTCAGTAATGGAGCTCTGCATCCTACATCTTCCCAGTCCATTAAAATGTAAATTAGAGAGCACTGGCTGGTTCCCCCTGGCCCTAGCTCAGCACCACTGTGTATCAACCTTGCTTCCGCAGCACTCACATCCGTCAGTCGTCCTCGCCTCCATGTGTACAAGGTCAGGCTCCTTATCCAAGCCTGTGACTGACCTAGAGAAGAAAGAGAGCAGTAGTGAGAATGTGTCAAGAAAAGGACCAAGTCTAAACAGACCAGTCCTCTCCCTTCAGGAAGATTTGGTCAAATACACCAGACAGCAGAGGTACATAGTCACCAAGCTCTGAGGTCCTACAAGACTGGCTATTCCGTAGTGGAGGAGCAAGATGTGGTATGGCCCTCTGAAACCTTCTTTGTATTGCTGCTGCGATATAGTAAAAAGAGCACTAGGTTTTGAATCTGAAGACCTAGGTTGAATTCCAAGATCCAACCACAGCGCTTTTTGTAATTTGGACACATCTCTGGGATTCAGTGTTCTTATCTATAAAGAGAGAGGTAAGTGTGGTACCAGAAAGAACGCATTGTGGCCAAGCTATAGGGAATTAAAACACTGCTCATGTCAGGGGGAGAGGGGAAGGGTCCCATCAGACTCTTCCCATGCTGGGGTAGGCATTAGGCAAATGAATGTAGAGAGAAATAACAGTTCATAAGACAGTATTTGAGACTAGCCCTTTTGATTCTGATCTTGCAGAAATTCATAGAGTTGGATGAGAGAAATGCAGAAACTTATTCTAGCAGAGTTTCAAGGCTGCACAGTTGGATAATTCTCCAGTTGTATCTGAGTGTATGTGTTTCCTGGAAGAGTTCTGTGTGCATGGCTATGATGCTGAGCTGCTCAAAGTCTGATGCCCAGAGACTATCAAAGGGAGCTGAGGAGTCTGTATCTATGCAACAAGGTCAGTATCAGCTGTTTTCTAGGAGACACTTTCTGAGCCTTTCCCCTCTTTTCCAAGGATATGTCAAATGTCAGAGGTTTCAGGACTCCAAATGTCAGAGATCATGAGATACATAGTTATCTCTCCCTAGGGATGCTGCAACGATTGAATGAGAAAATGATTGTTAAGTAACTTGTAACCTGTAAAATCACTATATAAATGTCACTCACATACCACCAGAATAATCATCATTGTAATGCTATTATACCTCACTTAGCTAGGGGTCACTTAGCTGGCAACCTTAACTATATGGAACATACTTTTGGAGTCGTGAAGAAAACGTTAAAGACTGACAATATGTCACAGATGTTTGCAAAGACCATGCACTGAAACTGCTGCATTTTATTCATGGGGGAGACCCCAGTCCCTCCTTTCAATTCTGTTTAGTCTTGTTTCTGATAGAATTCTATCATGCCCAATTATCTGTTTTCCTAGCACAACTTATATTTTAAGAAGCAAATGTCAAGGGAAAGTGCTAAAAACATGCATACTGATAGTGGGGGAAAGAAACAGCTCAGCTGACAGACTGACATCAGGTGGAAAGAGGCAGGAAAAATTATTTAAATACACACACACACACACACACACACACACACACACACACACGAACTGAAAAACCATAGCAGACCAGGACCATTTAGGTGGCTCAGTGGCTAGTGCCCTGAAACGGAGTCAGAAAGATCTGAATTCAAAGCTTGCCTCAGACTTTTACTAGCTGTGAGACCGCAGGCAAGTCACTAAATCTAAAAGTCTCAGTTTAAAAGGGGGATAATAATAATAATAACAGCTACTTTCCAGGGTTGCTGTGAAGATAAAATGAGATAATATTTGGAAAGCACTTTGCAAACCATCTAGCACTGACTCTTATTATTGTTACTGCTGTTGTTGATGTTGTTGATGTTGTTGTTTACTTCTTGGCCAAATAACCCTGTGAGGTGTAGTCAGCCCTGAGGGCATCATTTTATTCAGCACGGGATAAACATTCATTAACATTTAGATGGATGACCCTGAGTCATCAAGAATTTGTTATATTCAGTTCTCTCTGTTTAAGGAGGCATAGATTTCTGTAAAAAAAAAAATATATATGTATATATATATATATATTCATTTGAACACTTAACATTAACTTTTTTCAGATAAACTTCTGTTATCTACAAAATCCACATTTAAAAAAAAAAAAAACTCCTTTCCTGAAGAGATGTAATAATGATGATCATTATATCACCTATATGGTACTTTTTACTTTACAAAGCACTTTTGTATCTATTATCTCATTTGCTCCTCATAACAAAAGACAGAATAAAGTAGAACAGGTATCAGAATCATAAAAGGATAAAATCTTAGAGTAGAAACGGACCTTAGAGGTACAGTTCGATCCTTACTTAAAGCAAAAATCCCCCCTGAAACATCCTGTCAAGTGTTCATCTATCACTAAACTGCACATATCCTGTACAGATATCATTACTGCTATCATACAGTCAAGGAAGCGAAGTCTCAGAGAGGTTAAGGTAGTTGTCCAAAGCCACACAGTGATTTAGTAGCAGAACTGGGCTTAGATTCCCAGCCCCAGAACATAGACGAGGGAGCTCAATGCTGAAGGAACTCCAATTCTCAGTATTACTTCTTCCCTGAAATTAGAGACAATTTAGTTGGCTAGGTTGCCCATTGGATAGAGCACCCGGCCTGGAGTCAGAAAGACTCATCTTCCTGAGTTTAAATCTGGCCTCAGATACTGACTAGCTGTGGGACTCAGGGCATGCCACTTGACTCTGTTTGCCTCAGTTTTTTCATCTGTAAAAATGAGCTGGAGTAGGAAATGGCAAACCACTCTGTTATTTTTGTCAAGAAAACCCTAAATGGAGTCACAAAGAGTGGGACGTGACTGAAAAAACGACTAAACAACAGCAAAACCAAAAACTGGTTGGCTGGACAGATTTTGCTAATTTAGAGAAACTGGGAGAGCTAGATTTGGTATTAGAAGGTAATGATAAAGGCAGTATGATATGGTTGAAGAATCATCCAGCTGGCACTGAGTTAGAAGACACAAGTTGTCTTCTTTCTCAAACCATCAATATCAAATATCTTAAAATCCAGTTGAGATGACCAAATTACACAAAATAAAAAACTGGAAAACCATACAAAGATATCATGAATATCCAAGCTATGGTAATAGAAACAGGGATGTTAAATGTTAACATCTGAGGCATGCTGAGTGCTATAGGGATTGGGAGGAAAAAACCCTGGGGGCAGAAGGTGGAGAAGGCTTTCTGGGAGGAGATCTGACTGGAAATAACCCGGGGGCATAGGTTGTTTGGACATGATGGCCATTGTTTCAGTAGTGAAGCTCTGGTTGGTAGCACTAGACATTGGCCTAATATTCAGTTCACCTGAAATCATTCCTGCCGTTTTCTACACTCTCACAAGGCCTAAAGAATGTCTTTAGTATCAGAACCAAGTTTATGAAATGTTCTCATTGACATGGAAAACCGTAAGCCATCAAGAAAGGAAGACACAATCCCTGCCAACGGAAAGCTAATATCTAACAGAAGGCAACACTGAGGAGTCCTGTATAGATGTCCCGATCACCACACATACCACTCTCTCCTCTCTGCTTATTCAAGCTGTACTCATGCTCCAAGGCCCTCTCACTAGGCCGATTTCCAACAAGAAGTCTTCCTTACCTCTTCCAAACCATCCTGATCTTCCCCACCCCTGCAACCTGTGAAATTCTCTAGCACTATATAGCATCCCTACAATTCAGTACATTATTATATTCTGCCTCATGCAGTCCTTCAATTGTTTCCTCAATAATTCTTATCACGTCAACTGGATTGTGACTTCCTGGAGAGTAAAGAATATGTTTTCTTTCTTGTAAGCAACTATATAGTGGTTGTTACAGCTTCAACACTAGAAGGATCAGGTATATCAACTGATACAATAATTTTATTAAATTTTACTTTGAAATAAAATACTTATATTTTGTCTGATGGATAAAAAAAGATGCACTTTGTGATTTCACAGTTTGGTCCTTCCAGGTATAAATTCTATTTCTTCTAGTGTCAAGAACACAACAAATATCCAATATGTGTTGTCTGTTCATTAAGAGGACCAAAATGACATCACTATGCTAGAGTGAAGTTACAGAGTGTCTGACTGTGGCTGATCAGACCAAGATAAGCTAGGAATGCTCTACCACAAGTCAGGCACAGAAAGTCCACATGAACATCTGGAGTGGAGATGTCTCTAAATTTGCACATCTCATGTTTCTTTTCAGCTACTTCAATTCTGCTTTGCTCACAGAGCACAGCACCTTCTCTGATGAGGGCATGCCATACTGGGCAGTCCTATGCCAGTGTCTCTCATGTCACAAAATCAATTCCAAAGTTCTTCAGAGAGACCTTGAGAGTGTCATATTATTTCTTCTGATGACCATGTGAGCGCTTGCCTTGTGTGAGTTCTCCATAAAATAATCTTTTAGGTAATCATACATTTGGCAATCAAACAATATGGCCAGCCCATCAGAGTTGCCTTCTCTGCAGCACAGTTTAAATGCTTGGCAGTTTAGTTTGAGAAAAGACCTCAGTGTCCAATACCTTATTTTGCCAGGTGATCTTCAGAATCTTCCTAAGACAATTCAATTGGAAGTGATTCAGTTTCTGGTATGGTGCTGGTAGACTGTCTAGGTTTCACAGGATTAAGTACTTGATTAATTGACAGACTGGGAACCCCATATAGGAACTTTATTTCATTGGATTTATATAGATTTTGATGTTTCCAGCTCTTCATTTTTCCTCATATTAGGGGAGTGGGGTGGGGAGCCCAGCAGCTTGCATGTGGCCAAAGGTAAAGAAAAACTTTCAGCTTTTTGATGAATGTGAAGTTCTCATCATTAGATTCTGAGCATCTTGAGGGCAAGGGTTATCTTTTGCTTCTTTTTGTATCCCCAGTGCTTAGCACAGTACCTGATTTATACACATATAAATAGAGAGAGAGAGAGAGAGAGAGAGGTAGGCATTTAGTAAATATTGACTGACAGTTAGCTACAGCCCATAGGGTGGAGACTCTTGCTTGTATCTCCTAGAAAAGAAATAGCTTCCCAGTTCCCACACGAACTGGGGCAATCAGCCCCTGGGCTAACAAATCCAATTTGCCATTGCCTGTACCTGTGTCCCCTGTGCTAAAGATTGGGTAGGGGATGACAATACAGGCTATTTCTTCTC